GAGAAGCAGATGAAATCTATCAACATAATTCCGAAGAAAAAAGAGCAGATCCGTAACAGATCTCTGCTGCATCATCGAGATCGTCACTAAGAAAAAAAACTCAGAGAAAGAAAAGATGCAGATGAATGTGCACGAAGCGTACCTGATACGAGCTAAAATCAACGAAGGAAGCGAAAGAAGAGAGAATCTGAATCTCAATTTCTAGCTACGGAGCCATTTTCCGTCACTTTCTCGAGAAAATTCGAATGGCAATGGATATGTTTGGAAGAAGGTGAGATTAGGAGAGAAAGGTGGGTGTATATATAGGATAAAAGATAGAGATTGATTTGATCTTACGAATTTGATTTACACATACAAACAAAAAAAATCATTATTAGTGAACAAAAAAAATATTTAAAATTTGGAGAAAAAAGGCTTATTTTAGATGCTTGAAGATTCTTCATTAATAAGCGGAGAGAAAGAGGGAAGTACGGAGTAGCCGTGAATTTAGTGGTCGAAAATCTAATTTACTCTAAATAAATTATTTTGGTTAGGCGAAGACTCGTTTAGTCAAATTGCTTAAGACCTTAACATATATTAATCATGATATAAACCAAGTTGTTGAGTGGTGGTTACTAATGCATGATTTTAGCTAAAAGCAAACTCATGCTTTTTAAACTTCACTCTTTCATTGATATAACTTTTTTTTTTACTAAAGTCTCGTTTTTTAATTGAAAAAAGGGACAATTGTCTAATTGTCTAAATAACATACTTTGTTACAATTCATTTTGATTCATATTGTTCGTTCTTAAAATTTAAAATTAAATGATATTTTGATGAAGGTAATCATTCGAGTGATTAGATACAATAATTTTGGCATGAAAACGAGTAAAGTAAGGAATCGAAGGACCAATGAGCTCTATGGAGTGTACTGGAGTAGGAATTAATCCCTTCAGTCTCACTCCAACGATGTCAAAGTTTATTTAACTTGAGGGACCCAAGTTTCTGCAAGTTACAATCGAGACCCCCTACAATTTCCAGATATATATTATACCCAAACCCGGTGACCAAATGTCCACGAGCATGTCTTTTACCGAAAAAACACTAACTTCATAATCTTTCGACAAAAATAAAATAAAAGCTATCTTCATAACCTATACATGTAGAGATTAATAATGGGAAAATTGCAAAAATGTCCATTTTCATATGCACATTTGTAAAAATGTGTTCATTTACAAAAATGCCACTAATTATAGATTTTTAAACCTTATATCTTAAAATTCTAAACACTAAAATAATTTTTTGACCCCTAAACCCTCGTAACTAAATCTTAATAGAACATAATTAACCCAAAAATAAATAATTTTTAAAAAGTGGCATTTTTGTAAAGATTTAAAAAATGTAGCATTTTTGTAAAGTGAAAAAGTGTATTTTTTGAAATTTCTCATTAATAAATACGTTGATAAAGTAAAATTAAATATGAAATCACTAGTGTATTATTGACACGAAATTGAGATATGTTTTGTTTATAAGAATTGAATAGTTTTTGTTTGCCGGATCTCATGGATCTTAAATGAATCCGCACATTAAAAAAAGGTGAACGTTGAATGTCGCCATCTCGGTGTAAAGTCCACGTCCTAGAAGTTTTCAGTATTAAACTGTTAGAGTTTTGACT